TTTCGCTCTCCGTCAAGCGATCTGTACTATTTGGAATGCGTTCAATGGATCATGTCATGTACTCAATGGATGCGCAGTATGTAGCACGCAGCGCACCTGTATTTGACGTACCGTAAACTAGTGTGAAGCTGCACGACTCGCCGTCGCTTTGCTGATAGCGCTGTGTTTCTCACACATGCAACGAGAGAGAGCGAGAGTATTGCATACCACGCTGAATCGACGCACTACATGTAAACCATATTCTTTGTTGAATTTTCCTGTCAAAATAACAGTTCATTTAGAATTATTCAGCTTTTAAGAACAAGCAAAAGATATGCCGGTTTCTCGGCAGTGGGCGGAGCTAATGCACAAACAGCTCTCGTTGGCTGGCGCTCATCTATTACCGTCCCAGTTTTGATTTCAGCAAATCAGTTCCAGCGAACGCTGACAATGTGATTAATATTCATGAACCCAGCAGATAATAGTAGTAGTAGTTACTATTACCCATGACCAACAATATCTTAAACACCACCACCAGTCCTAAATTCAGTTAAAATGACAAATATGCATTCATTCATTGTTACCAAGTTTTAGTTCTAATCACTAGTTCTATCATTAAATAGTGCTTAATTATCATAATATCATAATATAATGCTTGATTGGCTGAAGTTAAGAGGGCTGTTCCATTTTACAAAGATAAGCTGATTGGGTGGAATCATATGTGTGTGTGCCTACTTAACCATATTTTGGGGACAAATTTGTACCCAAAAGTGAGCAAAACCTGACAAAATTGGCAAAAACCTCAGTTTGTGGATGTCCTCATTTGTAAAACTGTTATAAAAATAAAGTAAACAGTTTTTTTTTTTTTTTTTAACTTTTGAAATTGTAAAAATGCAAAAAGTTTTCTGTGAGGGGTAGGGGTGGGTTTAGGTTAAAAAGTGTATAACTACACAGATTTCGATTGTTTTTATATACAGATAATGTCCCAATATAGATAGCTAAGTAAACGTGTGTGTAAAATAGTATATCAGTCTGGCGAGTAAACAAAAATATTTACTAGCCAATGGCGATTATATTGCCAAGGTATGCATAGAGGGTTGTAATACCAGTTATGAGGGGGGATACTAGGACATTTTATACCATTTAAAGTAGTGCTGTTCGATACATTGATATGACAATGTATAAGTCACAGAGATTTTACGATACGTGTTTCAGTACAGCTGGCCCTGTATCGATATTGTAGCACGTGTGCCGCAGTGGACCGTGCTTTATTTTAAATGGTGTTCTTGTATTTAAATTGAGTAGAAAAGTGCGAGGTTTCTAAAAAATTAGTAAGGTTTAATCTGGCCGCAGAGGAACACAACTGGGTTGCCTGAAAGAGACGTACAGTGGGGCAAAAAAGTATTTAGTCAGCCACCAATTGTGCAAGTTCTCCCACTTAAAAAGATGAGAGAGGCCTGTAATTTTCATCATAGGTATACCTCAACTATGAGAGACAAAATGAGAAAAAAAATCCAGAAAATCACATTGTAGGATTTTTAAAGAATTAATTGGTAAATTCTGGTGGAAAATAAGTATTTGGTCAATGAGCTTCCCACTTGCGCAATACGGAAATATCTGCTAAGTGTGCTACTTATATTTGTCAACCTGGCAACCATGTGCACGCGCTCTCATTCCACTGTGGATAAACATGCTCACTTTCTGAAAACATCGGTTAGCTTGCAGTTTAGCGATCTCCACTTCAATGTTCTATTCCAAGAAAAGTGTAATTCATCAAGTGTTCATTTATGAGAGGGAGAGAGCGAGAGAGGCTGTGTATGAATGAATTGCCACCGTTTTGCCACGTTTCTCTATTAACAGTAAAGCTGTGGCTTTAATTCCTTTAGAAACAATGATGTTACCAGCTTTTAAGCTATTTAGTTGATAAAATTGTGTGGCAGCGCTAAAAAGTTTCTTCCTGAATGTCTGAGTGCGGCTACAACATGATCTGTGTGAGTGACTGAGCGTGTGTGCGTTAGATACAGAAGACAGCGCATTAGTTTAGAACTCTTCTAATTAAAAAAAAAATAAAAAATTTAAACGTAGAATGTTAATTTGTGCAATGATAAGCTACCAGCAATGTAAATTTTTTTTTTTTATATATATATATTAGAATGAGTACATTACAATTAGGGCTTTGAGATTAATCAAAATCGCATCGCGATTTGAGACGTTGTGGTTTGCTAATCGCAAAGCCTGGGACGTGGATGCGATATTACTCTGTTCCAGAGCATATGCATGACTGCCAGCCTTGAGTGGCAGCCTTACTAACCAATAGAGTGAGCGCACCTCTGTTCTCCCTAATCAGCACTGCTCTAGCCAACTACGTAAACGCCCACCATTTAAAAAAAGTGCTTGGAGTTGAGGGGAGGCTTTTGACATTTTTATTTGTTACTTTTCTGGAAACTCTCTTCCAAAAGCCATCGCATCTCGAGAGTGAACTAAGAATGTGACTTCAAGGACCGTCTTTCAGGACCTCTAACTCCAACTGAAAATGTGAAATGTCTTGACAGTCCACAACCTGCTTATGAGTCCGTCCTTCATGCTTTCCTAAAATAAAACCTCTTAAATGAATACTAACAGGATGTGGTCTTATCTATTCATTTATCCATTGCTTGGGATCTTGTTCCCATGATGACTTCTGATTGCTTTGATTTAGCTGATTACTGGCTACTTTTAAGACTAACGCCGTTTCATTCACTTTAAACTATCTTTCACGGCTTAGTCTGCACAGTTCAGTACCACAACCACTTTATATGTATCCAATCAAATTTGTTGTATTTAATTATTAACTACATGATTTGTTGTGAATACAATTTTTTTCATATGTTTAGCCTTTAGTATAGCTTGTTGAATAATCGAGTTAAGATTTGTAACTAAAAACCTGAAGTATCTAATTTAAAATTGAGAACTTGCCTGTAGAAATGCCAGTTTTGCTGAGCCTTTTTACATGCATGTCAGTCTAACTGAAATGTTTTGATCTACAGGAGAGGACTACCAGCATATCGAATTTGGCGTGGATGAGGTAATGAATGTGGAGCCTGTGGCAGTGAAAGACTCGCTGTACAAAGTCTCCAGCACTCTTAATCCTCAGGCCCCTGAGTTCATCTTAGGCTGCCAACCATCTCAGAAGGCCCTTCCCACAGCCACGCGGGTCGCTGATATCCCAGATGGTGCCGACTTTGACTCCCTATGCTGCGGCCACTCCGAGATCTCAGTCCTGGGCAGCCACCAGGCCTGCTCGGACATGGATGGGGTTTCGGGCGGCTTAGGACAACGTAAGAAAAAGAAAAAACGGCCGCCGGGATACTATAATTACCTGGAGGGTTCCAACAGCAACAGCAGCAGTGTGGCCACAGATGGAGTCGGGGGCTCAGGCCTGGTTAACGGACATACTCCAAATACTCCACTCATGGGTTCGGAGGACATGGTAGGGGACGTGTTGTCTGGGGCTGAGCCCATTCCCCCATATTCTGGAACATCCAGCACATCCACACCCCAAACCACCCCTCTTTCCCATCAGAGGACTTGTGAAAGCCCTGACAATTCGACATTGGACTTGACGAGCGGAGCTGCCTCTTTGTCAGACAGAAACGGTGCAGCTTCTTTGTCTACTTCATCTTCGTCCTCTCAGAGCAGCGGGGTGGCACAGAGTGCCAGGACTGCAGAGCAACATGCAGAACCCCCAGCTCTAGAGAGTCCAGTACTCCTGGGTAACGGAGGGCACAGCTCCTCTCCTCCATCTCCTCTTCCCCCTGCTGCTGCTGCTGCTGTGGCCACCCCCACAACCACAATTCCTGCTACTACTGATGAGAGGGAGGCCGAGGGCTCGGGGGAAGCTAATGGGCTGCCAGAGACTGCCTCAGCTGCCGGAGCCGCAGACGGGCTCCGAGACCCGTCTGAAATGGGCGAAGTGCAGTCAGCTTCCTCTGTAACCCCTCTTTCCTTAGACTCTGAAGTTCAGCCGGTAGTCTCGCCCAGTCCTCCTGCAGCACCTGTGACCAACCCCCCGAAATCCTGGGCCAGCCTCTTCCACAACTCCAAGCCTCTGCCTGGAGGTCCTCAGGCTTACGTTGAGGTGAAGAGCGTGCCTGTTGTCGTCGCGTTCCCTCCGGCTGCCTCTGAGTTGCCTGAAAAGGCCAATGAGGTGCGCGAGGGTCCCATCCCCATGTCTGAAGACCCTATGGCGCCGAAATTGGCAGGTAAAATGTGACATGACAGTGTTAGAGATTTTGAGTCCCGACTGCAAAGAATGTTGTATTGCACATAGCATCTGTATACAAATGGTCATTTACTCACCCTCTTGTTCTTCCAAATCTATCAGACTTTGGTTAGTCTTCAACCCAGAAATGATGTATTTAGTAATCTTAGAAAATTCTACCCCTTTATTGAAAGCCAGTTTCACTAAAACTTTTATGCTTTAAAAGTTTGTAAAGACCTACTTAAAGTAATCCATGTGATAAACGGATTTAATTTAGGCATTTATTCACAAACTTTGATCATTGCACATACATGGAGCATATAAAATGTAGTAAACCGAAGTTCTCATGCAAGCACATTTGAGATTATTTAATGTGTTCTATGTATGTATGTTGATCAGTTTATATTAATCTAAATTCTGTTCATATATAGTGATCATGTCTCTTTAGAAGACTTGGATTAAACGGCTTGATTCATATGGATTACGTTTACGTTGGTTTTATCAACTTTTTCATGCGTCAGTTTTGGGTCAACAGACTTTAAATAGAGGGATAAATATTTCTTAGATTTCATTAAATATCTAGGTATCTTTATTTATATACCTTGGATATCTTTATTTCTATTTTGAAGATATGGGTTCTTATGAATTTGGAGCAAAATGATGGTGAGTAATGATGCCAATTTAAATTTATGGGGTGAACTATCCCTTTGTGTTTTTGTCATTGTTTTACAAGGTTCACATGATCAAGGCCCCAGCCTATATTCAGATGACAAATCTTGGTTTGGGTAGAAATGTCCTATTTATTAACAATCTAAAGTGTCCGTGAACTAACTTGTTAGCTTATTTAGAAATTAAATGTTCAGTGTTGATCTTTTTAAATGGACTCGCATCTTACATTTTTGAAAAGCTTGCTCTCTTTGAACCAAACCATGTGCCATTCTGTTATTTATATCTGCCTTTGAAGAATCTTCACACAGCTCTTTTGCCTACAATGACTATTTATTGTGACTGCATCTTGTCAAGCTAAAGAGAGAAGAAAAAAAACATGAAAGTGGTATATTCATCTTGTGTGCTGTATTCCACATGAATTCGGACATTACTATTTTCATATACTGTTTTTCACCTGCTCTATATTAGGGAAGTATGTACTTTTGGATGCAGCCAGTGATCTCTTGCTATATAGAAGGAAGCTGAGAAAATGTTCCTTAGATTTCCATTTTGTATTTCAGAAAAGGAAATAACAGCATGTGGGTTCCGAATGATATGAAGATGAGTAAATAATAGCAGAAAGTTAATTTGTTGAAACTATTCCATTTGATTCTCTGATTCATGTTTCTGTCCACAAGATGGCAGCAGCATGTTTTGCTGATTTGCTGGTGGCACCCATAAGCCCTCTTTGTGGGTCCTAAACATTTCAGACAGGTTATTAGGGCCTATTTGCTCATAATTCTTTTAAAAACCACATTTCCTCATCCTGTTGCTCAAACTAATCATGACAGATCTTGAGAAAAGGCCCACCCAGGTGCTGTGTTTACCCATCATATTTCCAACATTAATGCTCAGAAGGAGAATGAATGGGAATCCCAGTCTGTCTCCATCTGAAGTACAAACGCAGGGTGGTTTCTCATCCAGAGCTTGGCTGCTGATTTGCTACAATGGCTACTTCTCATTTAACAACTGACCTGATTTCATGACCTTGGAACACACAGGGACTCTCCACTGCATTAAATCCTTTGGGTTTCCTTTGCTGTTCCTCAAATATGAGAATTCTTGCGCAAGAAAACTGTGATAATTTCAAAGTCTCAGACTTCTAAAACGACCTGGTGTATTATGTAGACTTGTCGTATTATGATTGGAGGCATTCTGTTGATCTTAGCACTGGCTTATGTGGCACTCAAACATTCTAGACTCTTCTCCTGGGTAAATGCATGTTCTGTTGCATAACAGGAAGAGCGTCTGCTTGATTGATGGCATTTATATGACTGTATTTCAGATGTGATTTTCTTCAAGGCTGCTAATGGAGATGGGATTTATGATCTTGTGAATCCGTTTTTATTCATATATTCTAGTGCAAAAAAAGGTGATTGTGAAATTGGATTTCTGCTCTAGCTGCTGTTTTGAGTTAGTCGTGAATGTGATGTGACCTGGTTTAAATCTATCCTGCCACAGTCACACAAAGCTGCAAGCTTATAAAGTAAAGGAACATTTAGATTTACATGACCATTGCTGACTGTGTTTACTACTGTAACTTTAAAATCATGTGATCACAACTGACCCCATTTACTTTCGCATATTTGTGGTGTTATGTGCAGTTCATCATTATCAATTAAATCACTTTCTTTTTTTTCTGATGTCACTTAGGCCACACAGGCTGTTGGCCATAGTTAACTAGTAGCCAAATAGCTACTACTTTTTTCTTTTTTACCTTCCAGTCAATTCCCATTTTTATATATATATATATATATATATATATATATATATATATATATATATATATATCTTGTTTCAGTCATTGTCACAAGTAAAATGGATTGTTATTTGAGCATCCAAACCAGCTTGTCGTAGAAACATTAACGCGTTTTAACCAGTGGAAGATAAAGGGATTGCTGTTCAGTTCTGCTATGCATGTCACTTTTTTTTATTCTATTCCAATATTGATAAATTCAAATTTCCACGTTACCATGGGAGCTGTACCATTATTTCAGTTTCCCTTCCTAGGCGTGGTACAAAATTCTCCTCATTTTTGCCACTATTAGCTTCATGTGCATCAGTCACATGTTGCAAGGTTAGAGTGATGGACATCACATCTTTTATTCTTACTCTTCAGATTGACAAGTTTGTCTAGGTTTGTGTCTTTAGAATGTGTATCTAGTTAAATGTTGCTTTTGAATGGAAAAACATCATTTAAATGCCCCCCAAAGAAACACTGACTCATACAAGGCTTCCTAAAGACAGGCAACCCCCCCCATTACTTCATCTTGGAAAATATGTAGTTTTGTACATCTCTAGTATTTCATCCACGAACATGAATCATTTTTTTCCCCATTTGTCAGAATTAATCGAGACTGTGAAGTTGATACACAAACCGGTGTCTTTGCAACCAAGAGGACTGATTAACAAGGGAAACTGGTGCTATATCAATGCTGTATCCTTTTTCTTTGCCTCAGTTCTTCCAGTCTTACTGATGTTGCTTAAGCAATACTGAATTGATCAAGCTGTCTTGTCCTGTTTATTTATTTTTCCTTGACACTGAGCTTTAGACCCTGCAGGCCCTGATTGCATGTCCCCCCATGTATCATCTGATGAAGTCTATTCCCCTTTTCACTGAGATTCAGAGACCCTGCACATCCACACCCATGATGGATAACTTGTAAGTTTTAGGCTACTTTGCTGCCCTAATTAAGTAATAATTATTTCCGTTATTACACAATGTGTTGTGGACTGGATGTGGAATAAGTCAGAACTTGATATCCATTCTGTGTGTTTACTAGCTTAAAAACAACATTAGACCAAAGTTAGAAATAAGCACAAGTGATCGGTTTTGAAGTTAGGTCTTTTCTATAATGCAGGATTGTCATATGCCACCACATCCACAGCATACTTTGGTTTCAAACTTCATTGAACTGGAAATTCTCCATTCAGAATAAAACATTACAGGTTTTGAGTGTTGTTTTTAACGAGTGAAATATGAATTGAAGCATCTGTTTATACACTGATACCAGATGTATCATTCATAATAAATGAACCGTCTTATCTTTTAGTTTGCCTCCCAGTTTCAGATTAAAATGGAAATATGAAATGTGAACTTGACTACAGCTGAACTATTCTGATTGACTTCAATTAATCAACACAAGTTTTTGCAAAACACAGCAAATGCACGTCAAAAAAAGTAAAATTTTCTTGGACCAAGTGCACTTTTTAGTGTTTTCTGCCTATTACTCTAATAAATTACTAATTGGTGTACTGCTTTTAGGCAATTAGGCACCAAAGACTTGGGCTGTTTTGTGCCATTTTCTGCATGCAATGAAATTAGAGAATAACTTTTTATTTGTTTCTATTATGTTGACCATATTCTTTCGTCTTGTAGTGTTCGGCTTGTGAATGAGTTCAGCAATATGCCTGTCCCTTCCAAGGCTAAACAGCAAGGTAATGTCTTTTCAGTGTTGATTGATTAAATCTTTTTACTCCCTGCTCTGTATTTATAGATTATATTACTCTTATTTTATTTTTTGTAGCTGCTGGAGAAAAAATAATGAAAGATCTTCGAGTGGGTGCTCCTTTTGAACCCACACACATCTATAAACTCCTCACCCTCATCAAATCAAGCCTTTCTGAGAAGGTAAGCATTATGAAGAATGGGCTGATTTTAATAAATCCCTTTAATAGTGGGGCTTGCTTAAGTCTCGTTCTTTGAAGGTGCCCAGTGGTACAGATTTCGAATGTCTCCTCTAACCTAAGAAAACTACAACTACTACATATCTAGTTCGTCATTTTTGGTAGTAATCACCTCCAACAATTTACTAGTTGGTCACCTCTCAACAAAGTCATGATGATAGACACTCGTGCTTGACACATCCAAGGACAAGACCTTCCTGTTCAGTTTCTTTTCGTATCTGTCTGCACATTCACTAACATTGAGGAATGAGTGTCTTACTGAGTCAGAAAGCTCTAATGAACAAGATCAAAACTGAAAGATAAAGTCCTTCGTTAATGAGCGGAATCTTTGGATACACAGTCTTTTTCTGGATTTGGACAAGAGTGTACCTGAGAAATACTACCTTTGCAGACAGTATATAGAAGACGGATGGCATCAGGGCACAGCCGAATTGGACCCTCCTTTGGATAAGATTTTCCACAATCCTACATGTGCCATTTGGCAGTTGATTGGAAAGAACGGCAAATTTATTCTTGTTCCATATGCATAGCAGTTAATGAGTTAAATTATAATGTGGTTCTCATTAGTCATTAGGCTTTATGGTGCCTTGGAAGCCACTGCTTTCTGAAAGTGGTACCTTCATTCAAAAGCTTAGTCATTGTCTGACTGGTAACTGTTTTTTGTTTGGAACAAAGTCAAAGAGTGGTGTGGTGGATGAGTAAAGTCTGACACTGTTAGCATGCGTTAACGATCTCTGTTTTTCTCTCAGGGTCGCCAGGAGGATGCAGAGGAGTACCTTGGTTTCATTTTAAATGGACTGCATGAGGAAATGCTGGCACTGAAGAAGCTTATCTCTCCACAGGAAGAGAGTACGTTCTCTTCTTATTTCAGCATTAATTGCAAGGGAAATCAGGCACTTGACTGGCATCCTGTCCACTCTAGATAATACTCTATTTGTGACTGCTTCATATTAGCTAAATTGTCTCTTTCTGCCACTGAGCAGAAGCCCCCACACCAAATGGTCCTGAATTTCAGCCTGGAGTGGAGGAAGGCCCTGCTGAGAAGGAGGAAGAAGGCAGTGATAATGAATGGGAACAGGTCGGGCCCAGAAACAAAACCTCCATCACCCGGCAGGCAGATTTCATCCGCACTCCCATCACAGACATATTTGGTGGCCACATCAGGTAGGCCTTGAGTGCACATTTCCACGTCAGCTATTGTCCAGCTGGTACTTTGTGTATCTATAGTGTAGAAGTGTTTACAACTTCAAACGCGCTATCTGGTCTTAAGGGGTCATATGACATTGCTAAAAAGAACATTATTATTTGTATTTGGTGTAATGCAATGCTTATGCGGTTTAAGGTTAAAAAAACACATTATTTTCCACATAATGTACATTATTGTTTCTCCTCTATGCCCCGCCTTTCTGAAATGATTTTTACAAAGCTCATTGGTCTGAAAAGCGAGGTGTGCTCTGATTGGCCAGCTATCCTGTGCATTGTGATTGGCCGAAAACCTCAAGCGTGTGACTGAAATCTTATGCCCCATACTGTGATGCCGTGTGTGCGACGAGTGCCGGTGATGCGCGACGAGACAAAACCAGTAAAACCCATTATAAAAGAGGCCTTTGTTGCATCCATTGGGGACATAATTGCTGATTATAATAACTTATACTGTCTTTCTTCGCGTTGCGTTGCTTATCACGCTGCGTAAACATAAAACCCATGTTTGCATTTGTGATCGGAGAAATGACAAACAACTAGCACTGCTCTACACTGCTCAAAACTCGCGTTTGAATCGTCAGTGGCAAATTCTTTAAATATAAAAAACGTACTTGCATGCTGTGAGTCATGAAGTGCCAGACTGTCCTTGCCAAGTTGGAATTGCCCCACTTTATAGAAACAGACACCGGCATTGTAGGCTATAGTCTCCCAGGAAACAGTCCTCGTCCTCCATAAAATGGGCTGCACACATCTGAATATCACTGATTTCTAGTTGTGTCCTCTTTTGGAAGGCCAAACAAAGTAGTTTCACTTTCATAACGAGAAACACAGCGTCTCCACAACATGGTGGCGGCAACAATACTACAGCGAGAATCAAAGTTACGCCGCCTTTCTTTGTGTGAACATTTGGGCGGTGTTATGCAAATCTTCCCACATAGTGACGTAGACATGTGGGGGGGCGTGTTAGAATGAGCCATTTTAGGTAGGCGTGGTTGACTCAACTTTTAAAAGAATCTTCCTTTGGATTTGAGACTTTAGTCTTTGCAACTTTACAGATCATCTTTATGCACCAAGAGCTTGTAACACTCCAAAGAGAAAGGAAAAATTTTAATCACATCATATGACCCCTTTAAAGGCTTGAGAACCAATGCTGTAGAGTTGTGATTCTCATAAAAGTGGCTTTATGAGACACCTGACCTCTTTGACGCATTAAACCACGGAGGTAGACAGATATGCAGCACTTCTGCAAGAAAAATAAACTTGTGGAAAAGAAAAGCCATTGGAACCAGGAATGGGTTTGGCCTTTTCATTGGCACCCACTGCACACTGTGGTATGACACAAGAACTGGGTGAGTGTGGTGCCATCTTCAGCCCATCCTGCTGTCCTGATCTTTGGATTTGAGACTTTAGTCTTTGCAACTTTACAGATCATCTTTATGCACCAAGAGCTTGTAACACTCCAAAGAGAAAGGAAAAATTTTAATCACATCATATGACCCCTTTAAAGGCTTGAGAACCAATGCTGTAGAGTTGTGATTCTCATAAAAGTGGCTTTATGAGACACCTGACCTCTTTGACGCATTAAACCACGGAGGTAGACAGATATGCAGCACTTCTGCAAGAAAAATAAACTTGTGGAAAAGAAAAGCCATTGGAACCAGGAATGGGTTTGGCCTTTTCATTGGCACCCACTGCACACTGTGGTATGACACAAGAACTGGGTGAGTGTGGTGCCATCTTCAGCCCATCCTGCTGTCCTGATGCTCCTCCAAGCTGTGTGGCTACAGCCATTACAAACAATTCACTGCAAAATAACAAACCCTGTGGCTCACCACCACCGCCCAGCTAACTTAGGTGGCTGCAGAAATGCAGACGCCTGAACGTGTGGGGGCGTCAAGGCTTAAATGTAGCCTTTTCTCTATGGTTTGGCTATGGTGTCTTTGGTTGCCTGATGGAGAATTTAATTGCGTAGCTAAGTCTTTCTTTTGCTTTCCTGTAAGAAACATACAGTTTTTGGCTTTCAGATTCATAATGGCATACTATAATTTGATGGACTGTGATGGTTTTAAGTCATCTAGGGCTTATTACTTTTTGTTTAAAAAAAAAAACATTTCTTTTTTCAGTTGCTAAGTTTCCTTACAAACTTAGTTGCATACTTTCTTCATTTTACTAGACAGTTTGATTAATTTCTAGGGATGCACGATATCCGATATGCAGATGTTTTTCAACTTATTTTAGCCGATGCCCATATCGATATATTTCCTTTTGTTTGGAAACACCACCAAGTCGCTCCCATGCAGTGATTATGAACAAAAAAAAATTTTTTTTTGGTTCGTTTTTAACAAAAACTTGCTGCTTAGAATGAAATAAATAATAACGTTTTTAATAAAAAAAAATTTTTTTTTTAATGGTGAGCACATTGAAAGCTTTGAAAATAATTATCCTAGTCAACATTTGAAGTGGATCAAAACCTTTCATCAAAGTTGAAACCAAAACAATACCCGTTCTTGTCTTAGGACAACTTTGAACTTTTTTGATCCACTTCAAATGTTGACTACTATATTTTAACTAAACTATAACTTTTTTTGACCAGAAAGATGCAGTCATATATGGTGTAATATAAATTTTTCCTTTCTCTTTGGAGTGTTACAAGCTCTTGGTGCATAAAGAAGATCTGTAAAGTTGCAAAGACAAAAGTCTCATCCAAAGAGATTCTTTATAAAAGTTAAGAATCAACCACTCCCTCCTAAAACGGCTCGTTCTAACACGCCGCCACATCTACGTCACCATGTGGGAAAATTTGCATAACACCGCCCAAATATTCACGCAAAGAAATAAGGCGTAACTTTTATTCTCGCTGTAGTATTGTTGCTACCGCCACCATGTCGTGGAGACAGTGTGTTTCGTTGTGAAAGCGAAACTACTTTGTTTGGCCTTCCAAAAGAGGACGATATCGCTTCGTCATGCCTGGAGCTGATCCGTGCTGGTCGTTGAGGAAATACATCAACTTCGTACCGTGGAGGAAGCGGAGTCCAGTCCGGGGCCGTCACATGTGGTTGCCACAAGCCTGCCGGCCGCTCCTTCGTCAAATCCGTCGGCCGCGCCGTTCTCAAGCCTGCCGACCCTTTCTCACTCTTGGCCGCCGACCGCTGCTCACTCTAACCCGCCGTGTGTGATGCTGTGTGTTTCGTTGTGAAAGCGAAACTACTTT